AGACGTAAATAAAAGTATATTTAGATTTGTGTTTTCTTCGAATAGTACTCACCCTTGACATAGTCTTTCTGGATATTTGTGCAAAAAAAAAAAAGAATTTTTGTTGCAGGCTATGTGTTTTCTTTTTCTAAACAAGGTAGAAATTTTGTGAAAAAATGTAGCAATGTGTCTAAAATAATTTCTGTTTAACTACTTAGACTGTTGTATTCTCTCCCTTTCCCCTGAAGGGAAAAAAAGGTGTACATTATTCTTCCAACCTTTTTCTTTATTTTGATTGTTTTAAAGATCCAGTTGAAATTCTGGTCATAAATATATGTTGCCTGTGAGAAAAGATGGAACTTTTATCTTCTGATTACCTAAGGAGGAAGCCTGCTCCCAGTGTTAAGAAACAATGCCAGATTTTACAAGCCCTCTCGTGTGACCTGCCTTGATAGGTGTTCTCTTTTGAAGCACTTAACTTGTAGGAGTTGTAAACATGTGGTTTTTCTTACTTGTCTCGGACAAAAATAATCCTTCGTTGAAAATCCATTACAAAATAATTTTGCATAGCCATTTAATGTTGAAGATTCCATTGCAAATCTTGGTAGGCCATTGTTTTGGTAGTAAAGATATATCTTGTTTTAGGCAAAAAGGAGTATGTGGTCTATTGTAAATATGAGGAGCAGCCAAATGTTGATTAGCTACCACTGGAAGAGTAGAGGGCTAGGAGTTTTTACTTTACTTCTACATGAGGCTCAGTGTCCTTACTATATGAGGACATTAATGCCTAAGCAATCTTCCCAAAAACCTACAAAGTAAGCAATAGAACTTAAGATTTTTTTTTTAATCTGAATAAAGTCAGGTTTTTTTTAGATACTGGGAAAAGGCTTGAGCAGGCAAGGTGAGAGATTTCTAAATTTTAACACTCAATGAATGTTTGATATGATAATGATTGTCATAGAATTTGAGTTTTTTTAAATTTAAATTCACTTAATTAACATGTAGTGTATTATTAGTTTCAGAGGTAGAGTTTAGTGATTGATCATCAGTTGCATGTAACACCCAGTGCTCGTTACATCATGTGCCCTCCTTAATGCCCATCACCCAGTTACCCCAGCCCTTCACCACCTCCCCTCCTGCAACCCTCAGTTTGTTTCCTGTAGTTAAGAGTCTCTTAAGGATGGGCGCCTGGGTGGCTCAGTTGGTTAAGCGACTGCCTTCGGCTCAGGTCATGATCCTGGAGTCCTGGGATCGAGTCCCAACATCGGGCTCCCTGCTCGGCGGGGAGTCTGCTTCTCCCTCTGACCCTCTTCCCTCTCGTGCTCTCTATCTCTCTCATTCTCTCTCTCAAATAAATAAATAAATCAATCTTTAAAAAAAAAAAAAAAAGAGTCTCTTAAGGTTTGTCTCCCGAATTTGAGGTTCTTAAGACTAGACTTTTGTCACTGTGGAGCATGCCATTTAAAGACACTTCATGTCTAGTGTTTGATTACTCAGGAGGTAAGCTAAACATGTGACTTTGGGCATCAACAGGAAGAAGCCAGAAGTTTTTTTTTTAGTGGGGAGAATTTTGATATTTCAAAAACAAGTATCAAATTAGTAATGGAAAAATCAGAACCTCGTTGAAGTTCCCCATATTTAGGTTTTGGCATATATGCACATGAGGGGAAAAGAGGATGCAGTAATCTTGTCAGTCCTTGGGTACTTTAAAGACCTTACTCTAGCTCTGTCTATGGTGAATATTTAAAAAAATAAACCAAACAACCTTTTCTAGGTTATAAAACCATCCTTGATTTGCATTTTTGGAGAATAAATGTGATTTTATTTTCAAATAAAATACAGACTGAAAGTGAACAACAGCTCCGTTTGGTTGGATTTGATAAAATAGAAGACTGTGTCAGCCTCATCTAGTAGCAGAATGGCTTTTTGAACAGTTACCATTTAGTTGAATTCTGTCCTGGTCTGGCTAGGTAAGTTTAAGGTCCATCCACTATGACATGATTTTGTACACGCTTCTTAGATGTTTTTATTGAGAGGTAATTGCATTCTTTCCGGGTGTTTTCTTGCAAAATACTTTGATGAGTATGCAGGGATGCTACTTCTGGATACATCAGTAAGTTTCTAATTTTTCTCATGATGCTTTTTTTTTCTCTTATGCTTTCTTAGATTTGCGAGTCTTTCCAAAACGTGCTTTTGCATTTAGAGGTAAAGAAATGACTAGCATAGTATCAGTGGTGTTCTACTTGGAATTTTCATTAATATCATTTGTTTGAACAAAATATGCCTGGACCCCCCACAACCAAACCCATTTAATCAGAATTTCCTTATGTATAGAATGCCCCCGACTGATTCTGATGAATATCCATGGCTGCAAATCTCTGGAGCCTTGATCATTGGTTCTTAAAAGTCTGGTTGGTCCCTAGAACAGTGGCAGCAGCATCGCTTGGAAACTTTTTATGGAATCTAGGTTCTCATCCCTATCCCAGAATTACTGACTCAGAAACTCTGGAGTGGGACCCAGCTGTCTGTGTCTTAACAAGTCCTCCAGGTAATTCTAATGCCCATGAAATTGTGAGACTCCCTGTCTTTGATCATCCCAAGAGGTCTCCTTGGCTCCAAAACCACAAATCCTTGTCCTGGTTACAAAAAGCTTCCAGGACATTGGATTTGCTGCCCATCATTCAACATTTTATCCTTCTCCATTCACCTCTGTTGCTTTAAAGTTTCTGTTTTAATATTGTTGGTGAATTAATGTGTCTTCTACCATAAACCTTAAATGCTTTGTGGATCAGGCATGGCAGTAATGATAAACATTGAATAAAAGCCTTTTCTCCTGTTGTATTATGTTCTTTACTCTTCGTCAATTTTCTGAGGGTTGGTAACTGGATTTACTAACCTTGTTTGTGGTTAAGAAGCTAAAAGAAGGCTGCCTGCAGGTTTGGTTGTAGCATTGGCATGAGGCTTGAGACAGATGGATCAAGTTTAGCATGGGGTGGTTGGGGAGATGGCCACCATCCCCTCTTGCTTTCCTGATTAGTGTCACTCTCAGCAAATAGCTCTGGCAGAACGGCTCCTTTATGTCCAGTGCAACATGACTGGTCCAGCAGGAGGGGGAATTAGAGCTCTCTCCACTCACTGTGAGGAAACCTCTCTTTTGGCTCCCAAATGGTTTCCAGAGCTATCAAAATAATACCGTTTGCAGACACTTTTCATGGCTGAAAAGAGCAACTTGGAGAGGAGAAATGTTTTGCAGCTGGGCATTGCACATAACTGCTAACTGAATGCCCCTGCAGTGTGTAGCTCACTTTTGTGGCTCAACAGTGGAAGAGCCACTCAACACAGAAATGAAGAGTCCCTCACACAGGCGTTTGTGCTTGTAAACCAGCTCTTCTTTGTGGGCCATAGACAGCAATGTGCCGGACGTTGTACTGACTGCAAAGCTCAAGTAAATCTCGCAGTGGGTAAAGTGTTGGTGGCCGCCTGCCGCTCATTAGAGATCTGTCTGGCTCTTTTCCTGTGGAATGAGTGGTAGATTGCTGACACCTGTTTTCCCATCCAGCCTGAGGATGTGAAGTGTGCATTAGGAATGCCTGAAAGTGCTTCCTTGTGTCCGAGTCTGGATCTCGGTGTTGCTTGCAGAGAAGGGGGTTGGGATTCAGTGCTGGGAAGGGAGATGAAAAAAAAAAATCCGTGGTGAGAAAACTGCATTATCAACTGAACTGACATTCTCCTCTTCATTTAGTGGCTTCTAATGGTGCTCTTAGTTTGTCTTCCACAAGGCCCCGATAACTTGGTCATCCAGTGAGCGAAGTCGAAAGAAGATAATGTCCTGTACATGAAAAGACCTCATCTATGTCTCAAATAACAAGTGTATAGTTGAGACTGTGAGCACATTAGAAATGGGATAGAAATAGTCCAACATTAAGTTATTTTCAATTTGGCCTAAATACGTAAAATTCAAGTGTGTTGATGGTATGATCCATTTCTTTGCACACTTCTGTCCATGTATTTGTTCTTCCGAACTTTACCTACTGTAAAGCCTCATAAAAACTGGCAGATGGTAGAGCAGAGGGCCTAATGCTCTGCCTTCAGTCCCAGATGCAGAGTGCCTGCTGTATGCAGTGCATTATGCTGAGTATGAGTGGATAACAAGCACAAGACAGACCCCTGCACCCCTGCCTTTTCAAGTCCCTGCAGTCTACTGGAGAGGAGACACACACATCAGAGGCAGCAAAACAGTGCAGCACATCAGATAAGCAAACAGATGAGATCCACATTTTCAGTGGGTTTGGAGAAGGAAGACAACTGTGAGTTGGACACCTAAGGGAGGATGTGGACCGTGTTCTGGGTATTAAGGGATGAGGAGAATTTATTGTGAGAGAGTAGGGCATGTGTCTGATGCTCTTTCCCTGCATCCATAGGCTGTGGATTTAGAGGGTGGTGTGTGTGTGTGTGTGTGTTTAAAGTAGTGGCAGTATTTCCCATTGACTCATTTGTGGGACTTGGCCAGATCTCCTTGTGAACATTACCTCCATTTGTGAACTGTGGATGAATGGGGTTAGGGTTGGGTCATGGCCTTGGACCAGAGTGAAATTAACTGGCTCGTAATGTGATTGAACTAATGACCTTGGCCTCATTACTACTGTGTTTTAACCAGTTGAGTCAATCAAAGATTGCAGAAAGGGTAATCAAGGTAATCTTTTTAGAAAGAGATTGGGATAGCAGCAAACACAGGAGTGAAATCCAAGCCGTCATGTCAACACCCAGGTGTTTGTCTCATCATCCTTGAGTTTATATACTTGTTTCTGCATCTAGTAAAACATGGTGGACAAAACAAAAAGGATACCGTGGTTGTCCTGTGTCGCTGTTTTTGGCATAATGCAATGTGTCTTCATTTTTCTTGCACAGCATCGGATGGTTTTTGCAGAGCAAAGTATTTTTGAGCAGTAATGTTGTTTTTTAATTTTAGATGTGTGTGTCCCATAAATTTATTGATGATGGCTTTCTCTTCTTCTTTAAAGTCTGAACAACCCAGCCCTGCCAGCTCCAGCTCCAGCTCCAGCTCCAGCTTCACACCGTCCCAGCCCCGGCAACAAGGTATCAGTATCTCCCAGGCAAACGATGGGACATTTTCCTCGTAAAACATCTTAATGAGTTGATTTATGGCCTGTTTTCTACTGTTTTATTATTGGAATGATAACTTGGCTTTTATGCAGTTGTATTTATTTCCCCTAGGCATGCACTTGAGTATTGTTCTGATGTATGAGGCTGGCCTCTAGAAATCCCCCTTTTTCCAGTCCCTGTCATCAGAGTCCCATTTTCCAAAAGGATTATAGACACAGCCCATTCCGGGGAGCTCCCAAAGGAAATACAATAGCAAAAGCTGGAGTTGAGAGGCTCTGACATAGAGAAATAGGTTTTTACTCTCTCTCCTGGAGATTTTTCATTTTATTTATTTTTTTTCTGCAGATTAATAGACCTATTTTCTTTGGCAAGTGTTAGTTTGCTGTCTTTAAAATTTATTTTCCCTCTGAGCTTAAAGAAATTTAAATCGAAAGAAATCTAATAAATTTAAGCCAGAACATTAAATATATATTTTATACTTTTTGATGTGTGCAAATCTTCAAGTAAGGTCTCCCCCCCCCTTTTTTTTAACATGAAAAGTGGGATCATATGAAGGAATAATTGCTTTTGAGCATCATGTTGCACATGACCTCTTTCATTGACCATACTCAATTCCTGACGGCCTTGTATGTTTTGAAAAGGATTAAATTGTTGTATGTATTTGGGCTAAGGCTAAGCTTCCAGGAAAATATAAAAGACACTGATCATTTTGGCTAATCAGATTTCTTGTTACACTGACTTCCAAAGGTAGAGAAATTTGGGTTTTGCAGAGTCTGAGATTGCAGAGAATCAATACTTATTTTAGAGCCGATTTAGTGATAACTCAGATATTCATGTCCTAGATTAGGCTTTAGGAATTGCCTAATCCAGAATAAAAGTGCCTCTCTCACTTTCTTGATTGCCTCCACAATCTCTTCTTTAACATAAAAAAGAGTGATCTTGTTTTCATCACATTTAGAGCAGTCAAGTGAAAAGAAGCGCTGAATTTTGTTTTTGTTTTTGTTTTTGTTTTTTCCCCCCAGTTATGTCCTGTTCTAGAATAAAACTAGATATGACTTAATTTTTTTCTCTCCCATCTAATACTGGATACTCTCTTGAATTTTCTGGGCACCTGACTTATTACATGGTTTTATTTATGCAAATATATGCTGGTGTTTTGCCAGGAATTTCTTAAAAGATAAAATAAAAATTGGCTGCATAAAATTGTTGCTTGAACAAGACCTTGTGTCCAAGATCAATATGAAGATCAGAGATAGGACATTACACCATGGAATTGAAATACTTTATAATCTGAACTTGACTATGAAATGCTTGCTTGACCTGAAATTGACCTTGAAATAAAAGGAACAGCTAAACCTTAATAGATCAAAAACTACCACACAAAGGCTGCATTGCCAAGAACAAGTTACAACCACGGTGATTTATTAGCCTCAACTTTTCAATACATGGATTAACCTAACAAAACATTCAATTTACTAATAGATCTTTCTGTTCCTTTTTAGGTGTAATTTTTCTTAGGGAAGAAAAAATACATAGAAAAACATTCCTAGGAAATAGAGATTTTCCAATGAACATCCTGGGGCATCTGTTGTGAAAACAGTAGTTTCGTTTAGATGTTACAGTCCAGAAACTACCAAAGTCTTGTCAATTGTATAAATATATATAATAGTGGGGGTGTTTTTTTGTTTTGTTTTGTTTGTTTTTGTTTTTTTGGCCAACGTTCAGTGCTGGATAGCAGTCCCCTGTGTCCAATATGACTAAATGTGTATGAAGTTGTGTGTTTGATTGTGGTACACTGTCATTCCTCAGGTCCTTTAAGGTCTATCATGAAAGATCTGCATTCCGATGACAATGAGGAGGAATCAGATGAGGCAGAGGATAATGACAATGACTCCGAAATGGAGAGACCTGTAAATAGAGGAGGCAGCCGAAGCCGCAGGTGAGTGTGTCTTGGCAGGAACGCGGCTCCCAGCAATGGAATCATGCCTTTTCCCCAGACTTACCAGTATATAACCACGGCAAAGGTGTGCAACACCAAAAACAGTGGCAAGAAATGGTCACATTCATTTAAGTTGGGTCACCTAGGCATGCTTTTATTCCTCTCTCCAGGGAACTGTGTATCCCTTTTCTCAGAAAGCAGAGGTTTTTTCCCTCTAAAAATTCTATAGGGAAAACATCCTATTAAGAGTCCTTGTTTTTCAAAGTCTATGCCAAGGTAGCAGGACTACTGCTGAAATCAACTCCGTTTTCATTTGAAGAGTTTGTGAGGATCCGTTGCTATAGCTTCAGAGTTTGAGGAAGCATGTTTGCTGTTTGTAGTTAGAAATACGTAATTGGCTTCAGTGAATTATGTGTGTGACCTAATTAAAACTAGGATCACCTGTGTGTGTTTTCCAGCAAATAAATTCCTTTCAAGTGTGCTGACAATTAGGTTCCTTAAGTAGCTTTAATGCTGTGAGGCATAATTCCACATTATAAGATGGTAATTCACGTCACTTATAATTAATAGTCAACTTGAAATTGCCTTGAGGGCTTTATTTCTTTATCATGAGGAAAACAAATAGGCATGCTTACTTTAATGTGTTTGAGTAGAAAAAATATGAATCTACTTGAACTTAAAATCCAATTACATTTATAATACATCACATTAAATCTTTCCCCATTATCCATTACTGTGTAGAAGGCCCTAAAATTCCTTAAAAGAATACCATCTTAGTCCCAGCTGGACCGGTTGGATGTTTACTAATTCCTTAGTGTTCTTTGAGAAGGGCTCCCCGGAGTATATACGCCTTTTCAGATCTCTCAGCGATGCTTCCGTGTGGCCATAATCAATACTTAGACCCAATACCTCTTTCTCCACTTTGTCTCCCAAACTCACCCATATATATATATACATATATTTTTAATTTTTTTTTTGAATAGGAGAAAATAAGGAGCCTTATTGCCTTGGTGTTACAACATTTCCTTTTAAACTCTTGAATCTGACAAGAAGGAAACTAATTGGTAGGACAGAAAGTCTAAAAATGGACTGGAACGTGGCAGTGAGCATATTTATAACCACCAAAATCCTGACTGCTGGCTGCTCTCAAATTTACCTGATGAAAAATGCATGACCTATTTAGCCAATTTCCAGTTATTGTTATTTAGAAAATCTGGATATTCCGTGATTGGCCGTTGCCCACCCACTTGCTGCCCCCTGCCCTGAGTCGGTGCGGGTCAAATCGCTCAGGCTTGTGCGTTGTCTGATGTGATCCCCGTTGTTGGAGATCCGCTTCTTTCCCCCGCCTGACATGTGCTGTTAGTACAGCAGCGCCAATGTAACATTTGGTCTTCCTTGCACTTGTGAAGTCTCAACTGTTTAATCAGTTTAAATACTCAGCCTTCCACTTCAGTCAAGAAGCATTTTAAAGCAGCGCTTCAACGGAACACTTCATTAATGTAATTTAGTTAAGAAAAACAAGTTCTATCAGTTTTTGCTAAAAGGATGTCCCAGCGTATCCTTTTCATTTCCTATCTTGTATCTTGTCTATCTGAATATATTATAGAGCTGGAATGTGATTGCCTATTCAGAGCAAAAGAAAAACTATCCTGATTTCTAAAGCATTTTCTGTTTCTGAAAAGAATATTATATTAGGTGACTGTATAACCAAAGAGAGAGCAAACACTGAAGGACATTTCAGAAGGAGGGTATACATTCAGTAGAGCAGAATAAAGAAATATCTCCTACCCTGGCTACGAAGAAAATTCTATTTTGTTCTGAAAGGAAAAAAAAAACAGGGGAGGGGTGATGTTTTTATATTGTCTTTGGTTGTTGAAAGATACGGTCTTTCTCGAAAACAGTTATCCCAAACACACTGTCTCTTCATGTTGCTGAAGTATATTTCCAATGAATTATTGTATTGTAGCAGTGGTCAAGACTAGGGACAGCCTTGAATCATTACACGGTAGAAATAGTTGGTGTGGGTCTAGCATCTTGGGCTTCCACTCCCACAGCCTGGGTTCACCCGTAGCAAAGAGGCAGGAGGAAAAGGAAACTAAAAGGTAGTAACCTACAAAATATCTAATTTTGCTGACCTGGCAGCTTGGGTAACATGCTTGGTGATAGCAGGCGAGTGGGATTGGAGAAGAGAGATATAAGAATAAATGGGGCCAGTACAATATAGCCGCTGAGCACCAACGTTGAGTACCATTGCCTGGGTTTGAATCCCAGAACCACCCCTTTTACCTCTTGACTGTAGGCGAGTGACCTAGTTGAAGTTCGTTTCCCCATCTGTTGAAATAAGGGTCAATAAGTGAGAAATAGGCACTAAAACACTTAACACGGTTCCAGCCCAAAGTAAGTGCCAGTATGGGTTAGCGGTTGTAGGAGTTGCACCAAGTTTCCAGTGATTAGTGTTTGGATTCCTTGCTCTCTGCGCCTATTTCCATAGATATTTCAACAGCTGTCTAGACTGATGCGTGTGACTTCTGTTTCTTTTCAGAGTTAGCTTAAGTGACGGTAGCGACAGTGAAAGCAGCTCAGCTTCTTCACCCCTACATCATGAACCCCCGCCACCTTTATTAAAAACCAACAACAACCAGGTAAATTGCTGAGTTTGCACTCTTCAGGACTCTGCCAAGCGAGGTGTGATCATTTTTACAAAGCACACAAAACTTTTTATCCCTTAATTTTAAACAAAATTTCTCTCACTAGCAAATAAATGTGAATCTACAACCTTTGGAATAAACACATAGTTGGGGTGAAAGAATTTTTGTTGTCATGGGAAAAGTATGTTTCGTCGGATGGGTTAATTACATCGATGCAGGAAGGGACGGTGACAGAAAGTGTTGCTCATTTTCTCCTGATCCCTGTGGGTTTTTTTTACCCCCTTCAGCAGTAAGTAGGCTAATTTAATGAATTAGAAAGAATATAACCTTTGGAGCTAGGATAAAGCCTGGTTATTTGTTTTACTAATTTACAGTAATGTACTGGTGGGAAATTAACTTCGAACTTTTGATTCTCAGTTTCCTCATCCATAAACGGGGATATTAATACCTGCCTTGCCGACTCTTGGGACAATGATGAATACTATATTTGTAAAGAGCAAGGGGCCATGCTCATGCCTACTTGGCACTCAGTTGATGGGAGTAGATGTTTATTATTATTATAGGTGCTCTGCCCCTGTGTGCTCATCCAGGAAAAGAGGGTGATCATTTGGAATTGTAAGGAATAGTTAATAAAATGCAGAATAAATAATGGTCATTATCGTTGTTATGAAACAAGCAAAAAGGAAGTCTTATTTAATAGTCAATTCAGAATAAAGTTATTTGGATAAGGTCTACGCAAAACTTTGAAAGCTATGATGAAGAGCTTTTGTTAAACAAATGATTAAGAATGGGATATTTTAAATACTAAAATAAACTGATTTCAAATACCATGAATATTATAAAAGCCTCATAGTGCATTGAGTTGATACACTCATTTATGTAAGCTATTCTTATTTCTTTGTTTAGGCAGATTCCCTGTGACCTCTAAAATAATTGCTTAATCACGTTACCCTATGAATATTATGAACTTGAGAATAAAAGAACTGACTTCTCTGAAATTACTCTCTTTCACAGATGTCCTACAATTTTAAACAGCCTTGTCCTTGAATTTGTGATCTTTGCTTTACTGGGAAATGTGATTTTTATAGCTGAAGATTTTTTCTTTCTAAATTTTGCATAAAGCATAAGATCTCTTAAAATTTAAAATACCTCATTTATAAAGTTTATCCACAACTTAAAGCCTTCATTATGGAGTAGGAATAATACCAGTGTTCTCTGCCTCGCCGTATTCATTCAGCTGCAGTTTCTTTGTGGACTACATGTAAATGCAAGCCCAGCCTCCTCATCTGTTCCAGACTGGCTGTTCAAGGAGTTAGTACATTCTTACTCCTTACCCTGCCTCCCTGCATCCCTGCGTTCCCCAGCTCCAGTGCCAGTCATACCCTTGGCCCGGCCGGCTCTCCCCTCTCACGTGGCTGCCTACCGCCACATATCAAGCACTTCTGGGGCAGGTGAAGAATAAAGGCATAACCATCATTGCCAATCAGTTGGGAAGAGCCCTGGGCTGGCTAACTAGATAACTCGAGTTTCTTTTGTAAATCTGTGCTTCCGTATAAGCTGGCAAAGGATAGAATTTGGACTTTGAATATATTTGCATATTTAATTTAAGCTTCTGGAACCCTTATTTCCACTTCCGGTGGGGAGTGTGTTAGAACCAGGGTCCCTTACGGGCAGCAGCAGGGCACTGTCAGGAGTTAGGGGCATTAGGTAAGCCCCTCCTTAAGCCCCTTCAGCTTCATTCCCAGTCAGGGTTAAGACTGTGCTTGATAAATAAATGCAGCTCCACAAAGCCCCCATCTTGCCTTTCAAACTTCCTGGATGGGCAGGCTTGAGCTGACTTGGCTCAAGTCTTGGCTTCAGGGAAAGGTTTGGATTCTTTGTCAGTTGTTTTTTGTTTTTGTTTTTTTTTAAACCTGTCTAGCAAAACGGGACTAAAAAAAAATGAATGGTATCATCTATCTGGTGAGGGTAAAAATTACTTTATCCAATTAGATAGCATACCACTTGTTCCTTGGCATATGTTTATTCGACAAATGTAGCTTCACACATGTGAATCATCAATCTGTCAGGAATACTCAGTTATATGTCACTTCCTCCATGCACCTATAACATAATAAGAAAGTCCATATGCTTTCACTTTTAGCTAGTCTAGGGTAAGAAATAGGTGTAGAACCACAAGAGCACTTAACCTCCTTGGAGCTGTCTTGGAACAGAGAGCAAGAGAAGGGTTTTAAAACTTTGTTTAGTATTGATTTCTTAACCCCTCAAATCACGTGCTTCGGGTCAGATGTGTGTTGCTGTCCCTTTAAGTCCATGTTCTAGGACTTCTTAAAAATTAGCTAGTCTTTCTTAGTTCTCCCTGCTGGTGAAGTGAAATAGTAAGAATTAATTAAAAATATAAAAGTCCCCTGATTTTCACCCTAGAATGTGTTTTCCATCTTTATTTGAATGTATGTGTGATAATTTGAAATTTCACATCAAATAAAATAGATGAAAACAGACTTCCTGTTTCACAGTTAGGCCTTCTGAGTATGAGTTTCCTGCGTTGCTCTGTCTTCAAGTTGATAATGATCTCTCAAGTTTCTGTAAATTACGAGACAAAGCCAGAGTTTTCCTCACCCGTTCTCAAGTCTTCCAGGAACTAGGGAAAAGAGAAAGTGCTAATTGAGTCAAATATTTTCTAACTATTGATAAAAAGTGAACAGACAGAGAGCCACATGTCAACAAAGCAAGTAATTAACCTGAGTATTGTTAGGAGCTACTAGCGATCATTAACATGAAAGACCTATCAGTATAGAATCCATCTCCTGAATAATTGAGTTGTCAGTCCTCTCAAAGGGATACAGAAAAATAATAATCTTGAAAGTTTGATTCTCAAGCCATATCCTCATATTAAGGATTGAAGTGCAACTTAGTTCTGTTTTAGGGGACTACCATGTGTATAAATGGTGCGTCTTGGCAGTCTGGGTGGCTGTCTCCTTCAGTAAAACTTAATAGGGAATAATAGTGAGTGCTGTGCCATTTTAATCAGAGGGCGGTGTGTGTATGTGTATTACTATTATTATTAAACTTCGAACCTCCCTTACATGAGTTTCAAATGAAATCAAAATTCCAGATCCTTTTTGGCTGAAAGTATGGAGGAGAAGGGTGGGGGGTTGGGGGCCTTGAGGGAAGGAAGTTATCTGCTGGACTCAAGTTAATATTCAGAATATCATAAATTACCTCTCAGCCTGCAAGGCATGTTGAATGAAATTAAAAAGTCCATCCAGTTAAACTGGTTTGAAATAAGCCCATGGAAGACAAGGTGCTGTACTTCTATATTCTGGAGTCGTTTCCTTAAAGATAAGAAATGATCATAAATAAAACAATTGTCTTCAGCATGGCTCAAGCTCTCTCAGAATGAGGTTTTGACAAAGCTGTTTATTTTGGAGCAGGGAGAGATCAAAGAAGGAAGATTAACTGAGCCCTCTCTGGGCAGCCACTCAGTAACTTGAGGCGGATCACTGACACCCGGAGCTTTTGTTCCTGCCACTGCAGCTTCAGAAGAAAGAAACTAGGATTTCAATGTAGTTTGGCCTTCTGTGCTGGAGCACTTACGGAATGTGTAGGGTGGGACTTAAGTGCCCCGAATGTTCTATTTTCTGCTCTGAGGAGAAGGTGGTAGAACTCTCTAAACCTAGTTAGCAGAGTTGCCTTACAAATGTAGAGCCCTTAGTCACTTTGACCCCCATAGTGCAGTGAAGGGGGGCAGAGCGGGATATGATGGCAACACAATTCAATTTTCTAATGCAGAAGGCAAGCACGCAGGCGCTGTTTCTCTCTCTGGCCTGGAATCTCGGCCGACTGTCTCTGCTTTGCCCAACTGCGTGTCTGAGTTGGCGAGGAGTGCCATCTACTGACCTACTTACTCCTAGGTCTCCGAGCTCGGAGTTTCCCCTTGAGGTCTCATTTCCAACAACAACAGAGAAGGAAATTCTGGATGTAGTGGAGTGTTGGGTTTCCTTTACAGTGCAGCACGTTAAAAATGATTGCCTTGCCCCAGCGATTAAGTAATTTCCTTGTGTTGCCCAAAGCATTGTATTTTAAGTGACTGAGCCTGGTCAGATTGGTCATCTGGTTATCTTAATGTTAAAAATGAAGAAATAGAGGCAATTCTCAGGAAAGACTCTGTTGAAGCTCACTTCTTACCCATGCATTATTCTACATTCAAAGGAAAATATACCCTTTTAAAGTATTTGGTCTTTTCCAGAATGTCATGGTCCTATATCCCCAACAGGTAAACTGTTGGTAGTATAACATTTTACAGCTGAATCTTGTTCATCATGTTCATCTTGTTTATTTCATCTCATCTTTTTTGAGGTCCAAAAATTTTAAATAATAGGGCCAGGACCTGAACTTAAGTTTCTGAGCCCAATCAGAAACTTAATAAAAGTGGGCTCATTTTAAAGTCATTTTGTGTTATGGAATATGGTAGACTTTTGAACAGAACTCTGTGTGTGTGTGTGTGTGTGAGAGAGAGAGAGAGAGAGCAGAGAATGGATAAAGAGCAGTAGGAATGAACGTGAGACTTCGTAAATATATCCTTTATTTGGTATTTTCCTCCTTATTATTAGCTTCTGATTATAACTCATTTGGTAATGAGGTTATCATGAAAAAGACAAATTACTTTGCTTTTTATGTTTATATACATTTGTAAACACTCATCAATAAATTCAGTGGATCTCAGCGATTTTAAACAAGGCCCGTTTAAAAATATTTCCCTTATAATCCTCAATTTTGAGGACTCTAATAAACCAACTGCATTTATTAAATAATAATTTGTTTCTCCTGCTAGTTCATTAAAAACCTAGCTCCCCACGGAAGCTTAATAAACAGCACGCAAAACTTCCGTTCATACTCTAAGCTGTAATCGGTTCAGATGGAAGGTCAGGCACTTGGTACTTTATCATGGGTAAACACATCATTTCTTGAGACACAGAAGATAGTCCTGCCCCTTTATTTCTTGAGTCGGAGGATCCCAAGTTGGGAGCAACTAGTGTAACTGATGGCCGTCTTCATTTCCAAAGCTGCATCCAGTTAGTGAATCTGAGTAATTTTTAGACTCTGAAAGTCAGGTACTAAAAAGGGCATCTGAGTGTTTGTTTTATCATCCCTAGCATGCTGAGCACTGGTAGTCATGCTGAAACAGCAGAATGAGTAAGAAAAAATTCTTGCCAGAGGGGACTATAATACAGTATAACTCAGCTGCTGTGCATATGTGTGAGAGTGTTGTCACAAAAAAGCAGCAGCTTTGGAAGCTTCGATCAATTTCCTTATCATCAACTTTTTTTTTTTAAGTCTGTTGCCCTGACTCAGCATTTCAGATAAAAGTCCTTTATTTTCCAAGAAAGAGTGAGATTAGAAGAGAGGGGAAAAAAACGTAGAGAGGAGAAATGCTATTTGGAAAGTAATATTATTGTATGACATTTCATGCCTAAGTGCCTTTGTTTAGGGGGCCGGTTCACTACGAAGTGCCTGAAATCAAATTTACCAGTGTTCTCTTTGATCCCTAGATTCTTGAAGTGAAAAGTCCAATAAAGCAAAGCAAATCAGATAAGCAAATAAAGAATGGTGAATGTGACAAGGTAGGTTTCCAGGGCGTTCCGGGAGTGCTGTAGCACCGACTACCCTTTCCTGGTGTCTCCCTTGACCATCCGTGCTGGCTCTCCTTCCATGTCTTCATCAGAAGTGCCCCACACCCCCAAATGATGAGCACTTCTCGGGTTCTCCAAGTCTCGCCTATATCTTCAGTGGGGTGCTGGGCCCGTATGCTACCATTTGCCATGATGCCTGCATTGCCAAGGGGTTTTGGGGACATTGAATTGGGAGGTAAGAAAACCATGGTGGAGGATTGAGGAATCACAGCCGTAAGTGAGCGGGTGCTTTCCAGGTGTACGTCATGTAATCAAAATCTGACTTCAAGACCCGTTGGGGGTTAGTCTTCTGTTGTGGGCAGGGTCGTAAGGTGCTTTGCGGGATCAAGGCAGGCCTGACTAAAGCCTCACCCACCTTTCCTTTGCCTTCATGGCAAACGGCGCTAGGAAAACCCATGCGGTTATGCAAACAAAGATTCTGGAGTCTGAGCATATGGAAAGAGAGCTGGGCTTCTGCCCCTTCAGGGGAGCTTTTGACAAACCAGATGCTAATTTGGATAGTCATCCCTGTCTTTCATAAGATGTTGGTGATGTTGTTAGGTATGACTGGGAAAGTTTTTTTTTTTTTTTTTTTTTAAAGAATTTGTCCTGATATAATTGGTTATGTGCATTTATACTTTCCATGTTCAAATGTAGACTTTTATTCTCCTAGTTAATCTTCTGAGATGGAAGAATTAAAAAAAAAAAAAAACCTGTGCTAATACATTTCAACTCACAATTTACCACTGAGTACCCTTTCTCCCTATAGAGGGTGTTACTGGGAGAGGGTGGGTCTGCTCCCTTGAATCTTGTTGAGAGTAAATAAGTGCAAGAATTTGCCCTTCGTAAAAAAGCTGGCTTTGTAAGGGTAACAGTTGGCCAAGAGAGACTCGGTCTGCAGGAGCCTTGGGCACCGACTCCACACAGCCAAGGGCAGGGAGCTAGAATGGGGAACCTCCAACTGCTGCCTGTGTGTTCCTGCTTATTTGTTGTGTTATTTTTGGATTGCTTCCTAAAGTGCTTGTTCTTTTGGGGGATACTCTTCTCTTTCAGGCCTACCTAGATGAACTGGTAGAACTTCACAGAAGGTTAATGACACTGAGGGAGAGACACATTCTGCAGCAGGTGAGAGAAATGCATTGTAGCACAACCCTTTCCAGAAGCTGCAAGGCCTACTTCATCCTGGGGTCGTGTCCTAGCCCCTGGAGGTCACGCCAGCCCTGCACTGTCAGCCCGGGTGATGCCACCTGCAGAAGTATTTTGGGGGGTGGGAGGAGTGCTCGTTGCTGAGGCTACCTGGAAGTCTGCTCTGGAGCTCAGCGTGGATGATCTCCCTCTCCTGGTGTTGCAGGTGGGGAAAACCGGGTCACTTGAGGAGGCGATGGTGCTGGAATGCATGGATTCCTCGGAAATCCGCTGGCCGACACTGGCCTGTGGGCTGAGGGAGGGGGAGAGTGGGAATGCAAAAGCCTTGGGGGCCAGGCTTCTAGTTTCATGAGAAAACAGTGATAAGAATTTCAGTCCAGTGTTATAAACATTTGTGATTCAATGGAGTAACCTTTTGCCAGAGCTCTTCGAAGGGAAAGAAATATTTTCCTCATTTCTCTTATCTTGTACAACATACATCTATTCTTAGGAACTCAACTGTGCCATACTTGTGGAGTGGGGAAGCTTCTATTAGTACAGTTGGATGTTTTGTGAAGATGAGGGTGCTTTTTAATTTTACTGTAGTTACAGTACATGTGTTTGTTGCATTAACAGTGGCTGCTGATAAATACCTTGTCTTTAACACCCAGAGAGAAGGTTGCATTCTAAATTCCAGGGTGGGTTTGTAGATTAGTTCACTGTTTGAATTTTGTTTTATTACTACTTTCAAATGACTTGAAGTAGTACTTAATCTCCCCCAGCTGTGTGTGGGTTATTTTTTTTTAATGTTTAATGGCTGATGGTCACTTTTATATTCTGTGCACATTTTTTGCTGAAATCTATAAATATGCACTCTCAAACCCGCCAAGTTGCCTGATTTGTCTGATAAGGTTTTTTTTTTTTTTTTAACCCTTCTAGAGTTTCAGATTTAAACGAAACTGTTACAGACCTAGGAGTCTTCTTTGGGACGAGTTGCATTTCTTGCATTTCCGTTTAAGCGAGTATGGGTAAGGGAGCCGGATTGGAGTGGTTTACCCTAAGAATTACTCTAGTCCTCTGCTAGTATCTTTCTTCAACGTTCTTGTGTAGAAACGAAAATTGTTCAGCTTGCCATTTACCAATTACGTGGGGTTAATTGACTCAATGGTGATGGTAAATCTATTAGCTGATACTCCCATCCCTTTCGATCCCTTTTTAAACACCAGCTCAGAACCACTGTGGAGCAATTGTCCAATAAAGCTAATAATGCACAAGCCGGGTCCAAGTAGTGAGTCTCACAGGAGATGAAACAGATGTTTGGGCAGGGTTGGGACATCTTCACAAAGAAAGCCCAGCCAGTGAGTAGAGGAAGGAGGCCATTGGCAGGGTCTTACCTTGGGGTGTCGTTGGCATTCCCGATTTCTTACTGTCCTTTAATTTGACCTTTGAAAGAATCGTGAGGGAAGGTGGCTTACTCGAGAATTCTGGCGAAGTGGATTACTTTAGTGTCCTAGAGGGAGAGAGTGATGGCTATGAATTTTTAGCCTGGCATCAAGGCGCTCCAGGACACACAGCGTTTCAGCCTAATTGCATTCCCAGGCCAGTTGAAAGCTCTCAGTCTTTGGCCTTCTGCCTTGTAATGCAGCTGAGGCTTGTGATTATGATACCATGATGCATGTCCTGTCACGGTTTACTGCTTAATTAATTCCTATTGTAAAACATAGCACTGTTGAGGACCAGTGTTATTCTCCACCTCGAGAGCTGCTCATCCTGCAGAGTGCATTCCGCAGAGTCGACGAACTCTCCGCCATGCGGACCTGAGCACCTGCGACGATATTTCTGGTGAGGCCAGGATCACATCCGAGGTCTTCTAGTGTTAAACACGTCCTATCAAAAACTCTGGTCTGACAGTTTTATTTGGCTCACAAAAAGTGGTTAATGTCTTTGTTTTACTCTGGGGACACCCAGCATCTAGCTTAATGAGCAGAAAGCCCTGGATCAAGAGAGCCTGTGTCCTTAAGCCCCTTTTCCTTAAGGTAAAAATACAGTACAGGGGATACAGTCAAACCCAGAGATCTGAGTACCTAGGATGGACTAATAATTGGATTTTTCTTCAAACTTTGCATTCCGCCTTTATTTGGAAAGGGGGATTGAGCACTTCTCACCTCCCCCAGCAATTGAGCTCTGAGTCTGGGTTTGGCATCTTAGGATGAAGTAAAAGTTCTAAGAAGAACCAGGGCTTCCTTAGAAGACAGGTTAACAGTTTAGGTAACAGCTACTATACTTTTAAAATTGTCTTCAGGAAGATGGGAAATGAGTGGTATGTTCTCACATCATGGAGAACCCTCCCTGAGAAGTGTTCTGCTGAAGATTATCTCCATCTTGGGAAATTGCCTTCATGTTACCGAACCCCTACAGCCAGGATCCTGATGGCCTGCCTCCTCCCCCAGGGGAGGGCCCATGTGGTCCCACTGAAAACAGCACTTCCCTGTCCCGTAGCCCAGGCGATTCTACAGGAAGACCTAACATCTACCAGACCTGAATCCACTGCAGGCAGCTGCGGTTAAAGCAAAGCCTGTTCATTACTTCCCTTCACTGAAAGGGCTGCTTTTGGGCAGAAAGAACTATGATTTTTTTTTTTAAGATTTTATTTATTTATTTGACACGGAGAGAGATAGAGAGAGAGCACAAGCAGGGGGAGCAGCAGGCAGGCAGAGGGAGAGGGAGGAGCAGGCTCTCCGCTGAGCAAGGAGCCTGATGCGGGGCTCGAACCCAGGACCCTGGGATCATGACCTGAGCTGAAGGCAGCCGCTTAACTGACTGAGCCACCCAGGTGCCCCAAGAACTCTGATTTTTAAAGAAATATAATTAGACTAAAAATAATGTATCTACCTTTTTATAATTAAAAACCAGGGTTGGGGAAAGAGCTACAGATTTAACAAGTGGACCTTACTTTGTTTTTTTTTTTTTTTTAAAAAGCAGCCTGCCATGGTACCCCTTAAAAGGCTTACATGGCAGGAAATAATCCATCACAAATGTTTTTTCCCCATAACCGTGATGGGAAGAATGAGTTGTGCATTTGAGATACTCTTCCTTTTCCACTAAGTATCCACACCATGTACCCTTGCCTTCTTATCTACAGCACTCTTTTATTATCATTATTTGAGGGAGGTATTCATTATTGCAGGATGACGCGGGCTGACAACAGCAAGGTAGAGCCCTGCCACATCAGCAGAGTAGGCAGTTCCTTTTCTGTAGCGAGGCAGAGAGGCATCCTTCAGGGACCAGTGGGGTGTTTTTAGGCTTTGGGGCTTGTGTCATTGGAATAAGGCATGTTAATGCTGTGCTTCCGATGTTCTCACTATCAGGATTCCTGGAAAGGAACCCACATTTATTTTTCTTTATGAAGTCTTTACTTAATTGAGGACGTGGGTACATGCTCTAGTAATTCGAGTCATTAATGCTGTTCCCTTTGGCAAATGGTCCCGAACGCCCTGACTGCTGCCGCTGCTATTAATACTACTTTAAGGCTGTCTCTGCGTCTACCTTGATGTATTCTTACAACCTCCCATAAAAATGTGGGCCTCATTTAGTGAGATTGATCGGATCCCCTTTCATTTCTTTGTGTGTTTGCGGGGGGAGGGGGGTGGAAGCGGGGCCGCACGTGGAGGAGGGAGGCAGCCTGTCATCTGAGCACTGGAAACCTACCGGACAATCCGGTGCACATGAGACACCCCCGTTTCCTAGCGGGCAAGTGGGGTTATTTGCTTTAAAATCAAGTGTCTTTTTCTACAAGGTATTTTTATTGCTCTGGTTTCTACATATTGTCAAGTAATTAGTCAGCAGCTATACTGAGTCACAGAAAGCTATCTTCTTAAAAGGAGTGAGTTACCATTTCAAAGGGAGAATCTAGGACTATCCTTTACCCCCACATTGTGATGTAACTACTTTCCTTCCTCTCCTGTCCTCCCTGCTCTCTTCCCTTACCCCTGCAACTTTTATTATAATTGTTTTTTTTTTTTTAAATTCAAGTAGGCCTTTTCTGAGTTTTAGCTTCTGGCATTTTCCCTGCTTCATTTGTTTTAGTGCTAATGAAATGGCTAACAGTCAATGAGGGGAGGCAGAGAAAGCGCTGGGTCTGATAGTCCATGTGCTGTACAGTTACCTCCCAGATCATTAAGGATACGTTTATATTTATATGGTAATCATAATCATGTTGCCCTGATCTGTGTAGCAATTTAGTTTATAAGGAAGCTTTATTTATCCTATTATCTTACTTGATCCTCTGCACAACCCTGTGTACTAGAACAGAAGTCGTCGTCCACATTTTGTAGGTGAAGAAGAAATGGAGGCTCAGGTTATCATGTTCTGTGCAGTGCCCTTCAGATAGTGAGCTGAGTCAGAACTGATACACGAAATGCAGGACTCTGTTCCGGTTGCTTGGGCGCGCTCCCCTCCTGGCCAGCTCGTTGGGGAGAGAGGTCACACTCTGGGAGAATTCTTATTTGCCTTCATTGTGTATGTTGAAGGCCTATCTCTTTCTGTCCTGAAGATTACACATATTCCCTAGCCCTATCGTATTTTTTTATAGTATCACAAAAAGGATAATTTACTCTGGAAACTACTGTTAGTATGTCTTTAGCATCACTTGAATTAAGTGTTTGATTGCCCTGAAAGGTTTGTGTGTGGGTTACTTACCAAAGCTCGGTAACTAGTAACTGATAAAACAAACAAGTGTCCATTTTAGATCTTTTAGTGTTAATAAGCTCTTGCTTGATAAGTTCTTTGATGCATGAACTAGACTAGAAGCCTGGGTCCAGTGGTTTAACGGAAGAGGTCGCTGAGGACGTAGACTCCTTGCTCTCCTGATCTTCCATCTTTCCCCTCTCGCACTCATCCTCCTGAGGGAAAGATAGGTTTCTATCTTTATTCCAGACAGGAAGGGGGGGACAGAGACCAGAAAACACATACTCATGGTCTACAACCTTTTCAAAAATGGTCCTGAAATCCCAGTGACTTCTGACAAATAAGTAGGAAGTAGCAGTATCTGCCAAATGCTGCAACTGGGTCTGGGGAGGCAAGTGTTTTAGCTGGGCTTGTGGCTACTTCCAGAAAAATCAAGCTTCTATTCGTTAAAAAAAAAAAAGGTTAAATGGATAATAGGTAGGCAGTTTGCTGTATCAGTCATGATGATTTCATAGTGAGAGTAATTTGTTTTATTATGATCCCACAGCTCTATTTGTAAAAAAGAGTTCCAGACATTGAATAAGGCAATAGCCGCTCAGTCTGGAGCTGGGCGATTAATTGGGTTAGGGTTCAGTATATCTTTTATGCTTCTGTGGAAGTCAAATATGTCAGGAATGGGGAGCACATTTTCTTTTGAGAGCCATTTTACGCATAGGGAATAGTTCACAAATTTACCATTTTTTAAAGAAAACTAATTCTAAGAAGAGAGGGTCAGAAGTTTCCTCTCTGCTGTTTTCCACCTGAAATTAGGTAATCTGAAACTCTGTTGAATAAATAATAGGCTAAATAATTAAAATTGTTCTCTCTTTTAAGGTGAACTAAAGAAAATGAGACGCAAGTGATAGGAGGGGAGTAACAGACAACGAAAAATAAATAAGAGTTTGCCCATTTTCTCTGTGCAAATGTTTTTCTTTCATCCTGATGTTTTTTTCTCTCCCCTGCAAAGCTTGCTAAAATTACCCCCCTCCATCCCAGTTTACCCACAATATACATCCCTCAAGTCCATGCTACCTCGGCATAGCGTCCATTTCTGATAAAATTGAGTAAGATAAGAATGGAAAGACACTTAACATGATAAAATATTCTCTCAAACCACTGACCAGCCTCGTTCTTAACATTGGAACCTTCGACGTCTCCTCTTGAAAGCCAAGGCAAGACAAAGCAGTGCCTTTGCCACCACTTTTATCTTACGTCTGAAAGTTGGAGCCCGTGCAGTAAGAAATGAGGTAGGACTAGGCCACACGAGGAGACAAAGGTTCTTTCTTTTTATAGATGATAACTCATACCCCCAAATATCCAAGGGACTAAACGGGACACGACTGTAAGTAATAAATACAGGTTTTTAATCATTTTGTTGAGGTACAACAAAGTGTACAACTAGATGAATTTTCACAAAGTGAACGCATCTTTTGTAACCAGCACCCAAATCAAGCAACAAAACAGTTCCAGCCCCCTTCCTCTAGTTACTACCCATGGTCTTCAGGGGCTGGGATTGTAGATGGTTTCTCTTTTTCCCTTTGTGGGTTTTGTACTTTCTAAGTTTTCAATAACAATCAGAAAAATGATCATTATTATGTGTGTGTGTGTGTGTGTGTACTTTATAAGGAGTTTTGTTATTTCTAGGATGGAATTTCCTTACATCTAGTAAGTAAAGTCACTATCCATTGAGTAACTATTTTTTAAAAGGGTCTTGAAATTGTATCTTCCCCTAACCACCCTTACAGTAAAATAGTCTATTGATGACTTGAAAGGAGGAATCAGTTTAAAGGCTATGGATGAGGAGAACAGGTAATCGGCTCTGATTGAGAATTTCACGGGGTTAATCATCCTTTGGCTTACCAAATTGGCTAAGGGATAGTTCCGTGCCATCAATAGCATAGGACCCTCTTGCTATAAAGGAGAACATTAATCTCTTGGTTCCATATTTGATACCATCCACCTCTCTCTCTCTCTTTGCCTTGTGATGTCCATTGCTTATTGCCTAATCTTTCTCTTCTTTACTTCCCTAGATCGTGAACCTTATAGAAGAAACTGGACACTTTCATATCACAAACACGACATTTGATTTTGACCTTTGCTCGCTGGACAAAACCACAGTCCGTAAACTACAGAGTTACCTGGAGACATCTGGAACATCCTGAGGATACAACAACTGGATGCATCAAAAACTATTGTTTTTTTTTTTTTTTGGTTGTGATTTTTTTTTTGTTTGTTTATATGAAAACACTCAGAATGATGCAACCAAAAGGGAAAAAATAAAAATCAAACAACCTTCAGCTTTATTTTTCTTTAAAGCCAGTCATCATCTCTTGATAAAGGAGAGGTTAAGCAAACCAGCCTCAGCGGACCACTCTTCTCTCCAAGGAAATCCCCGGGAGGAGTTAACCTGGATAGCCTTGAAAACAAACAAATCAAACACAACACAAGAAAACTTAAAGAATGTGTATGGTATCATGTATCTCTCTCTCTGTGGTGGTTCATTCCACAGGACGAATGCATATTCAACACACTGCCTTATTACATAACTGATCTATTTATTATCGCATACAGATATTCTAAAGTCGTTGAGGGAATGACACCACAAGACATTATAAGTACTTGGTCCCACGGATGCTCTTTCAATGCAGCGCCCTTGCCATCCCAAGCCCAGTGACCTTACTCGTTATACCGTGCCACTCTCCACCAACTTTTCCAAGTCCTTTTACTCGTTGCAGTCTGTATTTGCCACCTTTTGTTTTTCCAGTTCCAGGACACAGATAATCAACTGGGGGGACCAAATTGCCACCCTGATTTTCTTCTTTGTGGTCTTTCTCCTGAAAGTTGGGGCCCAGCCCTTGGCTGTATCCATATAATGATCTTGGACCATGGTAGAAAATGCACCAAATAGGATCATATGAATTGTTGTCTAGCCTTAGTCAATAAACCTGTAGGACTTTTAAACAAGTGTACCTGTAAACGTCCTGCATCCAGCATTGTTGAGCTGTCATCAACATCCTTGCGTCTGTTTTACTGTTCTAATATTAGGTAAAGACGGAAGTAAAGGCATTCCACAGGATCATCGTTTAAAGAAAAAAAAAAATTCTGGTTCTGTTTTCTAAAGAAATGTTGTAGAAATTCTTAATTTGGATCTATTTATTAGTAAGAGTTTCAGCTTTCTTCGGCTGCCAGTGTGTTATCCATCTTTACCATAAAACCTGGAATAAGAGATTTTTGTTCACATATGATCCTCTTAGACTCTTTTATATTTGGAAAATTAAAATCTTTTTTGGGGGGAAAATTCTTGGTTATTCCGCCATAACAGATCATGTATTAACTTGTAGATTCAGTGGTTCGATCCTGTTTAGTCACTTGCTTATGTTTCCAGAAGGATTTCTTGTATTGGTGAAAATAAAGATGGTTGGGGGGGGGCTATTTTTGTTCTTGATGTACCCTGTTTTAAAACTAGAAATCTGTCCTGTGGCATGCAAAAGAAAGCGAATTATTTTTAAAAGAAAAAAAAAAAAACCCAAAGTCCTTTTGGTGTCATTATTCCATCCTCTCCATAAATGGAGATATGCCAAGTGAGAACAGCTCATCTTCCAAGTTTTTGCTAGGAACTCAACCGAAACAAAGGAAAATGAAGAAATACTTCTGGATCCAAAGGTTCATTCACTGGATCAGCCTTAAGAAAGCCTCTATGTGTGCGAATAGACCAGTCTCTAGGCTCTCCCTTGTTTATTCCCGTGCCAGATGCTGTCTTTTCATACAGAGATTAACTAGTGTCTATACAGAAAATGGTCTTTCCAGACCCATTCTTTTGGGCAGTAATGTAAATGCAGATTGATAATGAAGTTATTTCTGCATTTTGAAAAGGGGATTTTTTTTTACATTGTTTTTTTTCTATCCAAAGACACTATTTTTTCCTTTAAAAAATTATAATACAGCCATGCTCCTTGTAAATTACTTCTGAAGCATCCTCCCCAAGGACAAGTGTACTTTTTTTGGTAACGTTACGATTCTTTATGGTTGGCATGAACAGTCCTTGAAGCATTTGTTGTGTGTCCTCTGCTCAATGTTTAACTCCAGAGAAACTTGGAGTCATTGTGGACATTAGGTGACTGATGTGTGTGGTTTTAGGTGTGGTTTTAGTTGTGTTTGGTTTTTTTAACTTTGCGGATGAAAGGGGAGGGTGATGCTTACATGAATTGCTTGCAAAATTTAGAAATCTTTAAACATTTCTAACTGCTAATCCACATATTCTCATTAAGCCAGAAATGGATGTGGTTTAACTAAAATATCTGTGTAGTGTAACTAGAAATGTATATATGTAGTTGAGGCCATTTTTATTTTTGTAACTAAGTTGTGCGGTAATTATCTGACAGTGTGAAGATTTTTCTCATTCCTCTGACCACTTACTAGGAAACTAGGTAACATAAGCAACCAAACAAAAAAGGACAATGAGAAGGGAAGCTATTACAGTGATAAACTTTAGGCCTAAAATTTAGGCAGTAAAGCGGATGTCTTCAGACTATCATCAGAATGGAAGTTTGTATATTAATAACAAAATTCAAGAAAACTTACCCATGCACTAATCCTCATGGAGACAGCAAAATGAGTTTTCCACCAAATTTCAATAGAGTGAGGGTCACATTGTTGATTTTTTGCAAGTTGTATTCTTACTCTTATCGAATCTTTAAATGCGGAAATAATAAATCCCCTTTCAGTTAATTTCAAATAGTTGTACTTCTCTTCAGGTAACCCCCTCAGTTCTGCCACGTTTATAAACACCATTGAAACCTATTAAAAAGTATATTTGGCACATGTGTATCCTGATGGTGGCTTTGGTTTTTTTTAAGCACAAAGGGAAAATGGCAGGGTTTAATTTCTTAGATAGGTTTCAAATAAAATCAATTGGGTGAGTGAATATGGTTTGAGACAGCCAGAGTCTGAGAAACTTTCTTTACATTTTCCTCCAGTACTTTGATGGGGGAAAGATATATGTACAGAACATTTTCCCCCCTTATAAATTGGCTTGCTTCTGGTTTTGCAGCAGGATTATGTATGAGAGGGGATGCTTCCCCTAGCATAGAGCAATTATGTCAGCAACAAAAATGTCCACCTCTCCCTCTACCTTTATGCAAAGAGGTGTGTCTATATATGCTTGAGTATTGTGTCAAAAAGTAGGGAGAAGTGTAAAAACTTAAGATCAGGGGATAAAAACTCTTAAAAAAAAATTCTAAGAGTGTTCTAAACATTTTTAAATTGCTAAGCCAGTCTCTCTGATCGGAATAATTACCTTTTTGTGGAAAGAGCCAGTGAAATTGGTTTTCTTCCACTAACATGTTTCTCCCACCAGAAATGGTGGGGAAAAAATGTTTCTGCTCATACCTTTTACAAACCCAGCTAACCTTTTAGAAAGACAGTTCACCGTTTGGGCCTGCATGACGTCCCACGTACCGTGCATTTCAAACCCCACACATTAACAATAGTTAACATTGGTTTACGAGAGACTTTGCCCTTAAATGTTTTAACTCAACCCAGGTAACGGAGTTGGATGTCCAGTGCTGGAAATGGTCAGCGTTCGTGTTTGGTGGCTTGTGTTCATTTCTCGCGCTTTGAAAGCGATCTGTATGCGCATTGCGTCCCGCCTTTCTCGTTTTGTGTTCTAACGCTGTGTACGGCACACACGCACATGCGCATATCCTAATGTTGCTTCAGACTGTGGCTCTCAAGTGGGGACTCTGATGTAGAGACAACTCCAGCTGCAGTGAACGCTGAGTCCCTTTCCCATGGTTTAGTTTAATCTTGGGCTGGAAGTCTACATCTTTGACCCCTTTTGTTTTACATGATGCTTTTGATCACATAGTCCCTGCCGTCCCTGGATATTGCTTGTAAAGATGCATTGAAGAAGTCAATTTAAGAGGAAGACAAAGCCACCGCTGTCTGTAAACTGTAAATATGGATTTTGGCACTTGTACTCCAGTATCTGCAAATAGAGTTATGATGGAAATGCTGACAGATCCTTCACGGTGGCCAGAGCTACTGTGTGGTACAAAAATAAATGAAGGAAAAATGTATTCTTGAGACTAACAGTGCAAGGCCAATACATTTTCTAAATCTGTCAGTATCTTTTTTAATGGAGTGTGTATGTGTAGTTATGTTGAAAGACACTGTGTATGTGTGTGTAGATGCTATTATGTGAACTACAAGGCATTCGTAAGATGTATTTCCCATCTCTAAAACCCATGTTGAAATATAAGTACAGATTGACAGAAATAGGTGTTTTACTTAAATTCATATTTAATCTACTGTGGCTCCATGTTCTTTACAATGTATAGTCTTACTAATTGTTAAGAGTCATTTGACAGAGTTTGGTTTTCACTTTGCATACAGGGGAAAATGAGCCCTTGGCCTTTCTCAAGAAGTGATGCTAGTCCTGGGGAAGAATGAATGGAGAGATCAGAACCATCTGAGGGCACAGTCCTGCCTCCCATTCATCTTTGAGTCCCCAGGGTCTAGCACCATTTTCTGTGTCCTAAAACCAGTCATTCTTCAAGCTCTGCAGAGACTGGGCAAGACATGGTGGGGCCCATTCTTAGAATAAACCAGGTTCCTTGTGCGTGGCATTTTTTTCTTTCCCTCTATTTCTCCGGAAGGTTTGGTGCATAAATTAAACAACGTGCTATCACTAGACAAAGTCCGTCAAAGGCTCTGCATTTACTTTAGCAGCAAGAAATGCTACCTTGATTAGACAGGAAGGAGAAACTACTTCAAAGAGAATAGAATACTTTCAGTTTGGCAGATAACCCAGGAATTGGATATAATGCTCTAGTTAGGAGCAAAGAAACTTAACAGCAAATTTGAGAAAGTCACCTTATCTTCAGGCTGACAAGCCATGGTGGAGATTATAGTGGACTGCTTTGTATGCTATCAACTAGGAGCTGATTTTAGGTGTGGAAGCATCAGTCCCAGATGGGCTTGGCTGGTAGCTGAGCTTTCTAATGACCATGCTCGAATTGGACTAATCTCTTCCCTTGCTTCAGCCTAGATAGATACTCATTTGTTGACTTTAAAATAATGGTCTTGCATTTTCCCCAGTGAGGAGAGAGTCAAGATAGGCAGCTTGGGCGTGCTGAAGACCACTCCGGATGCCATCTCCAAGCGCTCTCACTCAGGAAGTGTGCTGAGACACCGACTGCCCCAGTACATTTGTTCTACCAGCTCTCTCCGAATTGTGTTCCCGTTTGGATAGGCAAGGGGTCCTGGAGAGAGCTGGTAACTCACCCAAGGCTGACGCCCAGACCCGTCCGCCTGGTAGTCCAGGGACATGGTGTCCCAAACTAATGGACTTGTTTGTTCTGATTAGTGGAGCAACTAAGGGGTATTTTATGGGTTTCCTTGCCCGGATACCACCCAAATAGAAAATCCTGAGCACATTCCAGGGCTTCCGCTTTCTCTGCCAGGTAATAGTATCCACACCTTCCTGTTTACGTGGTCCCCTTTTGTAGCAGCATTTCCAGGCTTTTCCAGAGGTTGTTAACTTGCCCTGGGCGGTCAGCTTAGCTTCTTGGTCTTCATTTCCCCTTAATTAAAGGAGGGTAACCAATAGGGTTCCCAAGGGCGAGGGAGAGAAATATATGACACAGACTAAAAGACGTTTCAGTAATTATAACTGGGCCCTAGAACTGTTAAGTAACAACAGAAATAGTCTACCACCTAAATGGGAAGGCTGCTGAGCCCACTTTTATCATCACTCAGGGCACTGGGCAATCTGCACAGAATAGGTGGCCCCAAGGGGCGGGGGAGGTAAAGGCAAAGCTGTTTGCTCATTTTCCCCTCGTAATCATGTCTTCCACCACATGCAGCCCCCACCACAGAGTTCTGAAGTTTCAAAAGGGTAGAAAAGGATAAATCCAGGCCATTAAAAGAAAATAATCAAAGCTATTGAAAAGATAAAACAAATGAGTTGCACTAAAAGGGCCGTCTGTGCAAGTAATAAGGTTGAAATAGTGATACTGATTTCCTAGCCCAACAGCATTCCTCACACATGTGGTTTGTGTATCCATGTCTGGGTGGGTGGTCTGGTGAGAAGTGCTAAATGCAGCAAGATGGCTTAGTTTTTGAGCAGTGGAGGGAAGCTTTGGGGACAGGCTCAGCCCGTGGCATCTATAGTCCCTGCAACATAAAGAGGCTTTCCTTTTGCTTTGTTCCAGGAGGGAAAGTTTTAACTTGGCTTATTCATTTAAATATGAGTCTCTATTCTGCACAGAATCAATCAAAGGGTAGGAGTTTTTTGTGTGTGCGTGGTTTTCTTTTTTTTTTTTTTTTAAGCTCCTCCTTGTCCCTCATCCCAGCCCTAGAGATGTGTGGCATAGAATGGAATAACTCTCCATTTGTTCTAATTTATTCCCTGGGTCCTAGGCAAATATAAAAACATCCCCTTTGAAAGTGATGCTGTTTTCAATAACACCTCAGTTCTAGATAGGACAGAAAAGAATATTAAAAGTACGTATTATGAATATAGTTCCCAAACAAAAGCTGACAGAAGATGGACTCCCCCAAAGGCACAGTTACATTAATGAGAATGATAAAAGAAGTCCACTGAGTTCAAGGGTTGGCG